TCCAGTTTGTCCACACCTCCAGCCACTTCCCTCACCTCCTGCATGATTGTGAAGAAAATTCTAAACATTCTCATTGTTTTCAAAGCTATTTACCCAGTCTTGCAGGTTTGAGAGTTGTTTTTTTCTTTCTCTGGTGACTTTAGATGTCTCTGCTCAGATCTTAAAATGGCTCCCAGAGAGTGATCTTAATTTCTTGGGGGGGAGGCCAATGTTCTGCCAACAATCACATGGACATTAAGCCGACTACTTCCACTTACTTTTATCTCTTCATAATCACTTGGGAACATTAGGAGTATCAGTTATGGGTCTGCACTGGAAAGCAAGGATGCCAGTTTTTCTGTGTTCCACCCAGGGGACAGCCCAGATCTGCGGGCTCTCTGCGAGTGCAGCTCAAGAACCTGTGCCTTTAACAAACTCCCAGGTGACGCCTCTGCGGCTGGAGTTAGAGAAGCACCTGGCTGAGGACGTTTTCAGAGATTATTACGGTACATAGGTCACAAGCCTGGTGCGGAAAAACTGGAAAGGAGACTTTTAGAAAACCAAGTGCATTTTTCTAACCCTTCTCCCTCTGGCTCTTGGTCACTCCTCCCTGGGCCAGGGCTCTGAGGCTGATCTCTGCTGTTCCGCGATGGTGTGCCAGGGCAAAGTGCATGAACTCTGGAAAAGCTCTTGACTGCTCAGCGTCACTTGGTCCCTGGTTTCTGGCTGTGCCCCAGCTGTGGGTCTCCACACACACCCAAATGCACACAGGTCAAGGGCTCGAAGTCGTCTCATGTGTAAAGGAATTTCTTTACTGTCTCAATCCTGTGGGGCTCTTTTAGAAATCAGTTTCAGTCCCCGTGGGATGGACACGAATCTCCAGCACACAGCCCACTCACGAGGCGAGCCTGAATATGACTTGGTTCATCTCACTCTCCCTTTAAAGGTCCTCAAGCCTTCCCTGTTTTGGAGACATTTTCTCTTTCTGTCCCAGATAGGAGCTAAATTCTAGGATCTAGAAGAAACCCAGGAAGTGGTTGATGGCACATTGATTTAATTCCAGATGGTTTGTGCCTGTGATTAACGAGAGGGCAAGGCAACTTCCTCTGGTGAAACAAGACTCATTCTCCATAAGACACTGACTCATTTGAAAAAAAAAAAGAAAAAGAAAAAGAAAAAGAAGAAGTGATAGGTCAGGAAAGTGCAGAACTGTGTTATTTTAAGACACTTGAACCTATAACCCATACTTTGGCAAACAACTGTGCTAGCCATACAGAATTTAAAGAGCCACATAACATTAAAAAATGCTTTTGTTTGTTTTAAAAGATAAACTTTTGTTCAACTTTGTTCAACTTCCTTTTGCTGCAGGCTCTAAACATGCTATTTAGCCCTTTTGAAATTGGGATTTATTTAAAACGTCCTGGAAATTGTATGTTCAGTCAGCTACTCAAAGTTCACCCTGATGATAGGAAAGAGCATTAGCCAAGAATTTTTAAATTTTTATTTATTTATTTATTTATTGGTACCAGGGATTGAATCCAAGGGCACTTAACCACTGAGCCATATCCCCAGCCCTTTTTTGTATTTTATTTAGAGATTGAGTCTCACTGAGTTGCTACTAAGCACCTTGCCATTGCTGAGGTTGGCTTTGAACTTGGGATCCTCTTGCCTCAGCTTCCTGAGCTACTGGGATTACAGGTGTGCACCAAGGAGCAGGCTAGCCAAGAATTTGTTTGTTTGGGGTTTCTTGTTTAGCAGTGCTGGGGACTGTATCCAGGACCTCACATGTGCTACACCTCCACCCCACTGGTCAAATTTCCACATTTGCTTTTAAAATGTGTTAAATCATCCTCTCCCTTATTGCTCTGTTCTCGGTCTTCTTGTAAGAAACAATGTAATAAATTCTTACCACAAGAGGGAGCTGGACCATGAAGAAATTCATGGATTGTTTTGGAAACAAAAACTGGAGCTTGGGAGATTGAGGTTAGCCCAGGTGACAGTTTATTTTCACTAAGTGATTACTCCTGTCTTAGTGGCTCAGACCCAAAACCATAGACCTCACGCTTGATTCCTTACTTCCTAATGTAGGAGACATGTCTTTTTCTCTCTTTGGAGCTGGGGATCAAACCCAGGCCTTTGGGCAATGCCAGACAGGTACAGTTCCACCACGTAGATGCCCCCCCCCCCCCCAGCCCTGAATCCTGTCTTTTTTTTTTGGTGGTACTGAGGATTGAACCCCTCAATCCTCTGCTTCTTAAAGGCAGAGACAGTAGAATTTGCTGAGATGTAGGGTCAGGCATTTTTAGATGTAGATCTTATTAAGGTACTATGAGACCAAGATCAGGAGAAGAGTGTCGAGTGAAGACAGTTAATCACAGTTCCCGTGAGGTGGTGGTCTTCTTTGTTACATAAGCCTATTGAGTTGGATTCTCTTTCCTCTTTCCCTCCCTCCCTCCCTCCCTCCCTCCTTCCCTCTTTCCTCCCTTTCTTTCTCCAGGGATTGAACCCAGGGATACTTTACCAGTGAGCCACATCCCCAGCCCATTTTTTTTTTTTTTTTAACTTTGAGACATGGCCTTGCTAAATTACTTTGAGCCTAGCTAAATTGCTGAGGCTGGCCTCAAATTGGAGATCCTCCTCTTAGCCTCCCGAGTTTCTGGGATTACAGGCGTGTGCCACTGAGCCCAGCTGGGATTTTTATATCTTGAAGCTAGAAGCATTCTCATACTTGTAGAAGTAAAAACCTGGTACTAATTGAGATGACTGTTAATCCCCTTTCTCTATACTGTACACTATAAGAGGTGAAGCTCTGAAATCAAATGTTGCCTTTTTTTCTTTTCCTCCCACAGCAAAACAAAACTTTAGGAAAAACACATTTACTGAATTCATCAACATGTTTTGGGGGAGTTAGACAAAAGTTATTTTCTGTAATATTTGGGAGCAGAATCTTATTAAACAACCACAAATCAGTCATATGCTAAGTTCAAACTGGATGACTATGCTATGGTTCAAATGTTGTGTTAGAACTGGGCATGCCGATGCACAACTTTAGTGATTCAGGGGGCTGAGGCAGGAGGTTCACAAGTTCAAGGCTAGCTTCAGCAACTTAGCAAGACTCTGTCTCAAAATAAGAAGATAAAAAGGGATGGAGATGTAGCTTGGTGATTAAATTCCCAGCAGCCCCCCCCACCCCCCCAAAAAAAAAAGAAAGGAAGGAAAAGAAAAAGAAAACGTTGTATTAGCTTTCCACTGCTGAGACCAAAAGACCTGACAAGAGCAACTTGGAAGAAGAAAAGTGTATCTTGGGCTCATGATTTCAGAGATTCAGTCCGTTTGTCAGCTGACCCCAGAGCTCTGGGCCCAAGGTGAGACAGAACATCATGGCTGAAGGGCGTGGTGGAAGAAAGCTGCTGACTTCATGGCAGACAGGAAGCAGAGAGAGCTTGAGCTAGGGATAATATAATCCCCAAGGACCCACTTCCTCCAGCCATGCTCTACCTGCCAACACTTACTACCCATTAGTCATGTGATTAATCCATCAAATGTATTCCAATCATTAGGTCACAGCTCTCATAATCTAATAATTGCACCAATGAACATTCCCGCATCATCTCACACATGAGCTTCTGGGGAACACCTCACATCCAAACCCAAACAAACGTGTTCCCCAAATTTTACGTGTTGTAAACTTGATCCCCAAACTCATATGCTGATGGTATTTGAAGGTGGGCCCACTGGGAGGTAATTAGGAACAGAGAAGGTCATCAGGGTGGGCCCCAGGAGGGGACTGGTGGTTTTATGAGAGTGGACACACACTTGCCCTGACTGGCCACGTGGTGTCTGTGGCCAGGTCATGATGCAGCACACAGCCCTCAGGGAGTGCTGAGCAGATTCCGGCTCGGTGCTCTCGGACTTCCCAGCTTCCAGAACTGTGAGCCAAATAATTGTATTCTCCACAAGTTACCCATCTTAGGTATTTCATCATAGCAACAGAAAATGGAGTAAGATAGCCCACTTCTGAATGGCTGGTGCCTTCACCTGGAGGTGACTGCTGAACGGGCAGGTTGAATGATGGAGGTTTCAGTAACAAGTGTACCTGGATGGTTACTGACATCAGCAGTGTTTGGTCTTGATCTTCTTCACATGACCTTTCTCTATAACTCTTGGGCCCACAGGGAAGCTGCCTGATTCACTTTTGAAAGTTTAGCTTCTTAGAATTACCTGGTTTGTATTAAAATTTTAATTCTACACCCCTTTTCCCCCACAGGGAAGGATACCACCGTTGTGGTCTAAGCCATGAGTGCTGGGGGGGACAGACCTGCCTTAAGATCCGGCGTGGGATGTCCCTGTGCAAGCCGAGGAGCTGACCCAAGTCCACTTAGATCATCACCCTTGTTTCTGTTTCCTTTCTTCTGCAGAAGGAGGAGTGATGAGATCAAGGACTGGGCAATGGAAGGAGCCAGCAGAGCAGTTATGTCCTCTTCCAGGTGAGGCCTAACTGAGTCTCAGGTCGCCTGACCCAACTCCCTGAGGTTAACTGCTTTGGGGTCCTGGTGACTCAGCCAAGAGGGAAGCACCGTTTTGACTCTTTCTGTCGTTGGCTTTTGTGTTTTGGGAATAGTGGAGGGGATGGTTTAGGAATGTAGATTGTGATTGGGCAGGAATCAGTTCCTGGGTTCTTCACCCCAAATGCCTCATAAGACTGCCAAAATCTCTTGCAACGTCTAACCATTTTTTTTTTTACATTTTCCTTAAGCCATAAGTTGAAGCTTTTTAGCTTTCAGATAAGTTTCCTTGACACTTACGTATTCACTTCTAGTGCTGTGGCTAATGGTTCAAGATTCATGAGTATTTGGGGACTCAGCTACTTCTTTCTCCTCCTGCTCTCCTCCTCAGATCTTTCTGCAAAGCTTTGAAAATGGAAAAGGCTGAAGAGTATTTTTAAACAATTTGTAAAGTTTTTTAGTAATTTAGATATGACAATAACATTGCTTTTGCAATAAAAGAAAGACAAAGGCGGATGATTGTATATTTTGTTTAATACTTGCATTGTTTCTATAGCGCAATTATAGCAATCTTTAAATTTACTTTTCATTACAAATATTTGTCAAGTTTTGTTTCAGAAACATTTTTCCTACTCTCTTGCACATGCACCCAGACACGCTACAAAAAATTCATTCATAACACAGTAAGGGCAAACATTACTCATGTAAACATCTTCCATTAATTTCCCATAATTTAAAAAAATCATAGAATTATAGATATTGAATAAGGCTCATAGATTTAGTTCAAATTCCACAAAAGACCAAAGATGCTTCTTAACTGAGATGGGGTTGACTTTTGGTTGCGGCGAATGCCGGGAAGCATCCCCCTGGCTTCCACTCCTTAAACATACCTCACAACCTAAAAAATGCATTTTTAGGAGAAAAAGAGAACAGAGAGGAAAAACTTTTAAAGTAGGGAGCTCAGAATCATGGAAATAACTTTCTTATACCATAAGCAGGCATTTATGTCATCCCTGTCATTTCTCCATACAGCAATCAAGATTAAGTAGAGTAACCCCAAAATGTAACCAAGTAGATCTGTTAGGAGACATTGGCATGTGTGTTCATATTGCTAGTATACACAGTGAAAATTTGTCATATTTATATTTCATTATATCCAGGACCAAAATGAACAAGAACAAAACAACCCACTCAAGTCCAATGTCACTATAAAGGATTTTTTTTCCCCCCCCCAGTAACTCAAGAGTCAGGGGGCTGGGAGGTATGCCTAGGGATGGGAGTGGTCTTGATATTTGGATGACTTCTAACAACTGTGAGTAAAGTCACAGCAGAGGAAGCAAGGATTCCCGTTATCCGAGGACGTCTCTCTCTCTGGTTGGAAGTTTGGTGCTGGGGTGCATAGTCTTCCAGAGCTGAGACAGGGAATGGGCTGTGCTGAGAAATGCGCCCCTGGCCGGCGGCTGCCTTCCCCTCCCTCCCTGGGAGGTGGAGGTCAGAAGGCAGGGATCGCTGGCAAAACCGTGAAGTCCCACCCTGGGGTCTGAGCCCCAACTCCACTGAGGGCAGCCTCCCTGACATTGTGACTAGGCAGTAGGGGTGGCGGTTGGTGGCCGGGCTTCACCCGGCCAGGTCTGGCTTCTGATTCTGCTGCCCTGCAAAGAAATTGTGCTCCAGATACTGCCCCGGGTTGGCTCCCGGGCCCCTAGTGAGTCACTGAAAGGCGGACACACCTTCATTAGCACCAAACTAACCACCAGGAAGCGGCGGAGGCACTGGCGAAGCCTACGGGGCTCTCTCCGGACAGACCGACAGACGGACAGACCGACAGGAGGCTGCCTCGGTCAGAGTCGTGCGTAGGCTTTTTGATTTTTAAAAATCAAAATTGATCTGCATTATATCTCAATAGACTCAGATAATTCTCACCAAAATTTTTTGTAATGTGTTTAAATAGCACTGGAATAATTCAACTTCATTTAAATATATTCATTCTACCATGAAAATATTTCATACAAACATCTATTTACATACAAACACATTAAAATTTGTGAAAAGGGTTTCCACCCCTGTGGTTGTATGGCTTGAAATCGTTTCATTGCTTTGAATATGTACGCACACATTTGGCAAAAGAAAAAAAAATTTAATTTAGAATTAAAAAAAACAAACAAACAAAAAACAACCCAAAACCTGACACCAAACCTCCAAATTCCTCAAGGAAAGATCCAAGAAAAGAAACAATCTATTGAGGTACCTCAAGAACATGTAAATTTAATATATTTTGTGAACCTTTGATCTGTGGCAAATTAACATTACAACTATCCATCTTGCAACATAGTTTTGCTTGTTTTTCTACAACAAAAGATGTCTGGATTCTAAATCACTACTCTTAAGACAGAACTTGAGGCAAGGGTTTGAAAACAAAACAGAGAACTCTGTCTTCTTGGAGGATTTTAAATGCATTTTGCACTGAGTGATTTAATTTTTTACATATTAAATGAAAATTACTAAAAGTGCCACATACTGTCTCACTAAGACAACCCTTTACTTCACTGTTCACAATTAATGCAATTTTATTTTTTCCCAGTGCTGGGGATAAAACTCAGGGCCTCAGACTTCCTAGGCACATGCTGTGCCACTGAGCTAGTCCCCAGCCCAGTGAAATCTTCTTTTGTTACAATTAAATGTTGCAAATGGTTATATTTGGCCTTGTTGGCTACTTCAGGTTGTTCATGATGAGGAAATAGTTTTTCAAGTTTGATCAACCTACAGGGCAAAGAGGTTGAACTCTATTCCCAGATAGGTCCAAAGAGATCTTGAAAAACGAGTTCCCTTCTCAGGTGCTCAGGAAGACCAGGGGTGAAGCTGGTTAAAATCAGAATAGGTACTACAAAGCTCAAGTCCTCCTCAGCGGTCACTGTTAATTTCACCATTCCTTTGTGTCAGAAATTCAATCCTCCCTGTTGCTCTTGTTAGTCCACACAAATGCCAATTTGGGGACATGCTCTTACAGATTAGTTCCTATTCCTAACTCTAACACAAGATAATATTCATAATAGAAAAGATGCTAAGGCAAGGTCTAGTCATGCAGGGATTGGCTTGAGAGCTCCGAGTGAATCCCCTTGACCCCAGGGTGTCATGCACACACAGGTGCTGGCTGTTTTGGGACAGCACAAGTCCTTATTCTGCACCATATGTGGGAGATACTATGCTAAGGCCACTTGATTCAGTTGCTTCCTGACTATGTTCTTTTGTAAAGGATGTAAAGCAGAAAAATACATTCTGAAGCTTTTCCACTTTGGTTCAACCAAGTAACAAACCCCTACCTCCTCAACAGTGAATTCTTCATGGAAACCCCACCCCATCAACTTCTTTACCTACCTACCAACACAGTGAATCTCCACCCCCTGAGTGCCAACTGTGACAGTCAGAAGTTTGGGAGAGAGAGAGAGAGAAGGAGAGGGAGGGAGGGAGGGAGGGAGGGAGGGGGAGAGAGAGAGAGAGAGAGAGAGAGAGAGAGAGAGAGAGAGAGAGGACTAGTAAGAGAGGAGAGGCTCTCTGCATGGAGAAAGAGATGGGCTGGCGCTATCATTCCACACTGAAGCCCAGGCAGTTCTCATGCACGGAGAGAGAAGAGGAAAGAGACACAAGAGCTAGAAGACAGGTGAGTATGAGAAGAGGGAGAAAGACACAGAGAGATTTCCTCTGATTTGTTGCAAGGTCACAGACAACCGCTAGATTTTAAACCCAGACTGTGAGCATTCACTGATGTGGAGAATTGATTATCTGGTTAATCAATTAACTTACAACTCTCCAATCCCATTTATCCAAAAAATATATATTTAAAAAAAATCCCATTTGAATGGGATAAGAATAGCCCTTTAGAATAGAAATGATACCCCACTGAAACCACCCTCAGGCCCACCCATCCTCAGGCACGAAATGACTGAGCCAGCTGTGAGGAGGCGTGACCTGCATTCTCCCCTCCAGCCCAGGTTTCACTGCCCAAGGTCATGACGGGGTGGATGAAAGCCATCTTTCTCCTGAAGACAGTCACTCACTTTGGGACACATTTAAATTAAAGCACCTATCAAATACAGATCCAGAGCCTTCGCCCACCTGTCACAGTTCACAGACCAGTCTCTTTCTACAGAATAGAAGCAATCCTATCCTGGTGCCTTTCATCTAAAAACTCTATTGGGAGATCTTTCTGGAAGCCTGACAACTTCCTCTCCTGTGGGAACTGGCAGCTCAAGCTCATAAACAGGGATCCAACTGGATTCTCCGGAAACCACTGCCATCTAGCTGCAGAGGAGGCAGCTGGATGTTCCAGGAAGCCTGTCCTTGCAAAGAGAAGAGCAGCCCTGTCATTCACTGTCCTGAGGGTTGAACCCTGAGCCCAGAGGCCGCCTCAACCAAAAATCGGGAGCAGCCCCGAATCAAGCACTTTTGTCAAAGGCTTGGTGAGAACGACGTGTCACTGACAACCAACAGGGAACTTCCTCTGCTGGGTTCCTCACTCTCTCCCACTCCCAGCAAGCATCTCTCATCAGTTGGAGCTCTCTGCACAACTTGGAAGGCATTAGCTTTCAAGACCAAACCGACAGAGGTGACAGGTGGCACAGTTGACAGCTGCAGACTGGCACAACTGCTGCTCCCAGGCCTTCCAGCCACCTCATCTGTCCAGGCGGCTAAAGAAGACAGAGCCATGGCATGTGATGAGGGGGCTTATCAAAAATGACAGCTCTCAGAATTCACTCAGAGCAACCCCAGTTATGTTACAGATCTAATATGCTAAACTAAAAAACAGGGTTTTTTTCCTTATTTCTGAAGTGGTGATTATACATGGCTTGTGAAATGGCTGAAATGCTATCAATAATGCTTTTAAAGTATGCAGGTGTGAACTCTTAGCTTACAGGTAAGTGCTTTGAAATTACAACGAGGAAGAGTTTTAGCATTAAGGTTTGATTTGTACCTAGTGATCAGTATGTCTGCTTTCATAGTACTGATTTAAAATAAATTTTTGAATTCTGCATTAGAACTCAAGTTTTCTGTTTGACTTCTGAATTCAATGCACTGGGCACCACAAGCTAGGCTGTGCTAGGTTATGTACATGTAATGTGTACCCAGGGAGAAAAAAGAGTCGCTAGCACTATTGAAGATATTGCAAAATTGCCACAGTTACTGCTTGGAAATAACTAATTTTCCTCTCTTCTTTCTTAAGGTATATATTACAACTCTTCCATAACTTAATGCAAACAAAGCAAATTCATTTCTTCTCACATCGGAAAGCAAAGATATCTTTGTTTACATGCGAGAATAATAATTCTATAGTAATATCCTGGCCTTAGGAGCCAGTACTTATATTAGGGCATAATAATGAAATAATGATATAGAAAGAACCAGAGAGACGTACACATTGCCACGGATGCAGAATCCATGTGGAAGTTTCTCCTGTGAAGGGCATCTACGATAGGAAATGAGAAGAGTAACTCAAGTGGGCTTCTGTTCACTAGGAAAAAAAAAACAAAGCCATTCTATTGCAAGATACAGATCAAAGGTTAAAAGGCAAATTATCCTACATTGAGAGAATAAAGATGTCGTCGTCGTTCTCTACTCCAGCACGGCACAAAGACAAGTGCAACGACACAGTCTGCTTTGGCCGTAGGAAAAACATCATGGAAAACCCCCGACAAAAAAATGACTGAAAAAAAAAACCCCTTTCCCTTTTTCAGTCTAATCATTTGGCATCTCTGAACGTGGTACAGATTTAGACTTGAACCACCAAAGTACATGGTGCTGTCTGTGTCAGCGCTCGGCAAGACCTCTCAGTAAGACGTTGTTGCAAGGCTAGCTAATTTTAAATCTGGTATGAGTAATACAGTCAAACCTAGTTAGTATGCGAGAAAGTCGTTGCTAACGCAGGGTGAGAGGATGTGATGTCACAGCATGAGCAGTCCCTGGTTGTCCCATTGTTGGATAAACGTAGTGCATAGATCCAAGTTTCTATTCCAGGTCTCTGGACTCCGGAGCCAGGCCTTTCACTTTTGCTGGGTGGCCTGGAAGGCCTTCAGCTCCACCTGGTACCACTCGGGGGCTTCAGGCCCGCTCTTTCCAGGAGGGCTGTGGTCATAGCCGTAGGCAACCGTGAGCTCCTCGTCGGCCTCCACTGCTCGCAGGGTGCGGATGCATTTGATGGGCCCGAAGCGGGGGTGGACAAACCTAGACATCAAGATGCACACGGTCATGCCAGGGCCAGACCTGGGAGGGAGAGGCAAAGGCCAGCGAGGGGCCAGCGCAGATGAGCCCATGTGCTCTTGCCTGGGCACCGCTGGAGGGCACTGGAGGTGCACGCACAGGTCAGCCAGCTTCTGCTTCACCTGGGCGCTCATTAGACTAGAGCATCTCAGCCATGCCTAGACATAGGTGGGAATGTGCATTTAACAACACCTGGAGATTCACTGGCATATTCAAGTTTGAAAAGCACTGCTTTATCTTCCGTTTTGAGCATATTGGGCGCTCTATTTTTTTTGGGGGGGGTACCAGAGATGGAACCCAGGGATGCTTAACTACTGAGCCACATTCCCCATCCTTTTTATTTTGAAACAGGGTCTTATTTAGTTGCTTAGGGCCTCGCTAAGTTGCTGAGGCCGATCTTGAACTTGTGACCCTCCTGTCTCAGCCTCTTGAGTCGCTGGGTTACAGGTATGTGCCACTGCACTGGGCAATGGCACTCTGTATTTCTTAAGCAACAATCAGGGTCAACAACAAAAACCTGTCCTTAATGAAAAGTGAGATCCCGTGCAGCTTCCCACAGTTCAGCTCACTGCCTGGTAGCATCAGGCTCCTTGGCTATTTCTCAAGCAGAAAGAAGGCTTGATCAGATTGCTTTTTTGGAATTGTAAGGACAGCCTTGTGGCTTTTCAAAAGCAAAAAAAAAAAAAAAAAAAAAAAAAAACCCACTTGTATTGCACCCTATCCATAGAGAGGAAGTATTACTTTCTAGCATAAGAGTAGATGAAGATTTCTTCCCAAGAGGGAAGTCTAGAGCTTTTTGCCTACCTGCTTCTTCCATATTTCCCTTGGTGGGAAGCATCCTGTGAAGGGAACAATATCTCCTCCTAGTAAAATCCTCTCAGAACCAGAAGTGGAGTTAACATTCTATAATCACTTGCCACAGGTTCCCACCACTGTTCACCTGCCCAGCGCCCTACATAACAGGTGCATAAATAAGTAATGGACTTAGCTCCCCTGACAGTTGCTGAAAGGGATCTAAGACCAACAGGCCAGAGAGCAATCTACTTTATTTTTATATGCATTTGGCCAACTCAATCTCATTCACTTATAGTCATATGTTAAACAAAGGGCCCTGAGTTGGGGTGCATATGATAGTTTGGCTGACTCCCTCTGTTGGTGGTGGAGATAGGAGCATCTGAGGTTTTGGGCTATCTTCCATGTGGTATAAAAAGGAGCAACCTATACCTCACACCAAAGAGGACTCCATGTCCACCAGAACTAACACCAGAGTCTCCTGACCCCAGGTTAAATGTCCCTTTTATGAAACATCTCTTTTATGATAAAATACTATTTCACCAAAGGGATACTTAACTTGGGGTCAAAAGACTCTGTTGTTAGTCCTGGGTCCACACATATTACTGGGTCTTCTTGGAAACTCCACCTTGTATTTCTCTCTCTCTCTTTTTTTTTTTTTTTTTTTTTTTGGTGGTGGTGCTGGGGATTGAACCCAGGGCCTTGTGCATGTTAGGCAAGCACTCTATCAGCCCCTCCACCTTGTATTTCTGAATCCCACTTTCTTAACCTATAAAATCATAATGATACTAGTAAGACTTACCCTATGGGGTCATCATGGTGACAAAATGGGGTCACACACAGAAAGCACCCCACACAATTCCTGGTACAATAGAGGACTTGACTAATATTAGTTACTGTGTGTGTGTGTTTGAGCATGCCTATGTGTGAACTTGTGTGTGAATGTGCGTGTGTGTGAGCATGTGTAAGCATGCAAGCACTCAGTAGTATCAGATTGTGTCCATCACAAAGGAGATGCCTACACCAGGGATTGAGGAATTCCTTGTTAAAAAATCACAACTTTGTAAATTAAAATGTTCATCATAATTTCCATCATGTTCTTTCAGGATGAAGAAAAAAACTGCACTCCTGAAATAGAGCTCTGATCAATCTTCTGACCCACTGATAAAATCCTGGGTTGCCTTTTCCGGGCCTACAGGGTTTCTATGATCCTCTTGTATTTCCATTTTCTTGCTCATCATCATTGTTTTCAGAGTAGATAATGGGCAGATTGAAAAGAAGGAACTTATTTCAGTTTTGATCCTTGGAGAGGGCATTCCTAACCCCTGGGCCTTCCTGATCTGCATTTCCTGGTCTGAAATCTGGAAAGTAATACCAGTGGGCTCTTGAATTCCTGGGCTGATCAAATGAGATAATGCATGAAAAGCACCCAGAGTGAGGATTGGGGTGTGGCTCAATGATAAAGTATGTGCTTAGCTTGTGTGAGTCCCTGGGTGTGATCCCCAGCACCATCACCACCAAAAAAAAAAAAAAAAGTACCCAGAGTAGTTACTGACCATTTTCAGCTGCATGATTGGCCATCAACCCAAACCTCTGTGCTAAGCAGTTTGACCCCTGTCCACATGTTACCTACATTTACAGCTAGGAAAGATCTTGTCTGTGTCAATTTGACATTTTGTGCCTGGTTACATTTAAAACAGCTTAGGAAAGTGTTGTTTTACTTATATTAAAGTGTATGTAACAATACCAGTGTTGGGAAATAAATGAATGCCATGAATTGCAATCTGAATGTTATATTTGATTAGTATTCAAGTAGTCCTCCCCTGACCCCAAATAACTAAGGTTTGATCACACTGAGTTTGCAAACAATCAACCAACCAACAACCAAAGCAAAACCTGCAGAATGGGTTGGGGATGTGGCTCAGTGGTGGAGAGTTTGCCTAACAGGTATGAAGCCCTGAATTCCATCCCAAGTATCAAAAAAAAAAAAAAAAAAAAAAAAAAAAAAAAGCCCTTCTGAGTAAAGAGACTTGCATTTTTGCATTTGCACCAATGGAACTTTCTCTTGTCTCCTGTACTCTCTTCCTTTTAGTGAGAAAAATCATGTCCTTGCAATAGAATCATAGAGCTAGTTTGTTTTAAAGGAGTGGTCTCAGTGGCATTTATGATGGTTAGTTCCCATGCTTTAGGGGCCTTGTTGTTTCACTGTGTGCAGCTTGGGTTGATGCTTTGGCTAATGCACTGGCCATGAAAGCCTTGCTGTTAATAACAGTGTCAGTTTCATTTCACTTGACACATGTCCTTTGCCATTTCTGCCGCTCTTTGAACAGAAGTTGTAGCTCCAGTGCTTGTTATTGGCTGCCAAAGAGAGCAGATTACTGCCAGAATGATTTTTTAAGCCATCTCAGGGATGCAAGAGGAGACATTCCTGAGGAACCTTCAACTCTTGGCAATTTCCCTGCACATGAACTGCCTACGATCTGCTCTTGCTTATGCTAATAACCTGGGTGACCTGAGGAGCTGCAGTTATAATAAAGCAGAAAAGGTCATGTGCAGCTCACTGGCTCCCAGGAAAAGTTGGCAGGCTCAGGCCAAGCTCAGGAGGCAACAGAGAAGACCAGATGTATCCTTCAGAGAACAGTCAGAGATGCTTGGCTTTGGGAAGAGGACATTTGGGGGCTTGTGAAAGCTGCTAAAATATTTGCAGCGCTATCATGTAGAAGAGAGATTGACAGATTACACAGGAAAGAGACAATTAGGACGGAGGGCTGAATATTACAGGAAAACCCATTTAGGCTCAATAAAAGAAACCTGCTAGTTCTCAGAACCCAAAGGCAAATTTCATGCTGTCTCTTTCAATTGCCTTTGTGGATAACAGTAAGCTCCCCACCAACGGAGGTTTCCAAGAAGAGAGTCAACGAGCAGATGGAAGGGCAGGCTTGAACACCAAGGGGGACAGGGGTATTTGATTTTTTAAAATACAGCTTTGTTAATATATAATTCACGCACCATAAGATTCACCCTTTTAAAGTAGTCAATTCTGCGGTATTTAAATATTCACAAACTTGTGAATCGATCACCATCGTCTAATTTTGGAAATTTAATTGCCCTCAAATGACACCCCACTCCCATTAGCAGTCACTCCTTAGGTGACCTCCCAGCCCCAGGCAGCCACTAGTCTACTTTCTCTCTCCATGGATTTCCCCCTTTGGACATTTCATACAAATGGAATCACCCAATATGTGGCCTTGGTGACCTGATTCTCCCATTCGGCGTAGTGCAGCTAACTCTCACCACACTGTGGCGGGTGTCAGTGCTTCATGCCTTTTTATTATCATAATTGGGGCTCTGATTTTATGGTGCTCTTCTATGAAACTTCATGCCCTTGGCGTAGGATTTTATTTCTCTCTTCCTTTCACATCATAAAAAGGGTTTCCTAACTTTCTCAATTGTACAGAGTAATTTCAGATAATCCTAAATTTTTTATTTTGTGGTTTTTTGCATTGCTGGGGCTCAAATCCAGGGCCTTATGCATGCTAGGCAGGTGCTCCATCACTGAGCTACACCCCCAGCCCCAAGTGAGAAAACTGAAGGACAAAAGGGCAGTAATAAAACAACCACTAAGTACCCTCTTCCTGTGGCATGTCCTACTGTGGGAAGCACTTGTCTATCTCTTGGCTTGCCAAGGCCTCAGTGTGGGGATGTCTGGATTTTTGCTTGTTTGTTCTTTTTAGATACAAATAACAGTAGAATGCATTTTGACATAGTTTACATACATGGAGTGTAACTTCCCATTCTTGTAATTGTACATGATGTGGAGTTACACTGGTGGTGTGTTCATATATGAACATAGAAAAGTTATGTCTGATGCATTCTGCTGTCTTTCCTATTCCCATCCCCTCCCTTCCCTTCATTCCCCTTTGTCTAATCTAATGGGGATGTTCAGATTTTGAGTTTCAAGTCATAACACAGGCCTGTGGCACAGGCCCTTTGGTTATTCTGATGGGGCATCTTTCATCTGAAATTTAGGGATACTTCCCAAAGGTGCTCCTCAGTCCCAGGGCCCCTGGCATAGATGCATCCAGCAGCTCAGGGCCCCACTTACATATCGTAGATGCAGTTTGGAGTGAAGGAGTGGTTCGCCTTGTGTCCCAAGGAGGCACAGTACTTGGATACGTGGTTGTAGGGTTCAGGCACATCAATGACTGTGTCCTCATCGAGGGAGAGGGTGTTTCCATTAAGGGCCCAGTCCCTGCTGTCGACCTGCAGGGAACAAAACAGTGGGCATTGGAGTGTGCCTATCTCTCAAAACTCATAAGATGCCAGAGATATTAACTCATTTCTCCTTAAACTTCATAATTTGAGTATTATAGATGTGGAAAAACAAACACAAAACCCAAGACATCTCTCCACACATGGATGGTACAAGCAGACAACTCAATTTACTTTTCATTGATTTTCCCCCCTCATTTTATATAGAAAAATTGAGTTCCCTTCCTTGTAAAGACACACAAAAATCTAACTGGATAACTTGAATTAAAAGTAGATGAAAGCTGAAGTGGTGGTGCATGCCTATAATCCCAGCAATTCAGGAGGCCGAAGCAGGAGGATCACGACTTCAAAGCCAGCCTCAAGCAACCTAGCAAGGCCTTAAGCAACTCAGTGAGACCCTGTCTCTAAATAAAATATAAAAAAGGGGCTGGGGATGTGGTTCAGTGGTTAAGTGCCCTGCGTTCATCTCCCAGTTCTGGGGGCTGGGCGGGTGGGGAGAAGATGAAGACGAGGCAAATAAATATATGAATAAATAAATAAAATAGGAACATCAAATGGATGTTCATGTATGAACATAGGCTAGTTATGTCTGATGCATTCCCATCCCACCTCCTTTCCCTGGGAGAAGTGGGTGGTGATGTAGCTCAGTGGTAGAGCACTTGCTTAGCAGGTGCAGGGCCCTAGGTCCCATCCCCAAGAGATCTCATCATGTATATGCAAATATTCCAAAATCGGAGAAAATCCCAAACCCCAGACATTTATGGTCCCAAACATTTCAGATAGGGAACCCTCAACCTGAAAGTTTCGTTTTCCTGAAGCCACTGTTCATATGCTGAACTTCTTGGGCTTCTGGAGTGCCTTCAGAGGTCACAGGGACCCTGCTCCGTTGGAGTGCACTGTCCCTTGGCTGGTGCACCAGCTCTGCATGTGTGAGCATCTCATGGTATTTTGTTCTTTATTGTTTGGCAGGGATGAGTAAAAAAAGTGGAGATAGGAATGTGAAACATTCACCGTAAGCTTCAGTTCCACTCAGTAAAACTGAATCAGGGATGGAAGTCACTCACTGGGCAGAAGGCTTCAAATTTTGCCCTTAAGCAAACTCTTAGAGGTTAGCTGAGAAGTGAAGAAAACAAAACAAAACAAAGCAAAACAAAAAAACCCCAGAACATACGTCAAATATGTCAAAGTTTGTGTCTCAAAGGGAAGAGGTGATTCAACTGAAACGTTCTATCAGCACCTAGAACTCTTCCCAGCAAGACACAGGCTGCATATAGCTTTTGCACTACCAGGAGAAGGGGCTTTCCTAGAGGGCACCCTGCCCAAGGTCATGAATCAATTACTGACAGAATCTGACTGGATCTCAATTTTCCAGACATTGGGTATGTCTTGTACAAAGCAGTTACTGTCTCAGGGACGGCACTGCCCCCTTTCTATGAATTAGCTGTGGAACTTTAAAGGGACCCTGTTTGAAACAAATGCTTTAACCAATCCCACAGCTTGTCACCTCTCCCCACTCACCTCTTGGTGTGTGATTCGGACTCCATTATAAAAAGACATAACAGTATTCGGTCCCACTGCTACCTTGGAAAATAGTCCTTCTCCGGCACTGGAAATGAGAGATTCAGCAACATAAACCCTACATGGGGGAAAATTAAAAATGTATATGTCACTCTTTACGTCAACCACCAAATTATCAATATGGCTACTGGATCCAAAATATCAGTTCCTAATAACCAAACGAAGAAGAAAAGAAGGAAGAAAATGTTAAACCACAACATTTTAACATCAGAAAAAGAAGAAATAGCAGTATAAAGCTACCCAGGACTTGCTATAGCAGCGATTTTCTTTTGGTGGATGGTGAATGACAATTTTGAGTCTGATTGTACAAGTCAATCAGTCTCCAAAGTTAGTTAAAACTATACCCAAGTTTGTCAATGTCAGTGATGAACCCAGCCTAATTCCATTTTAAGATTGGGAGCCATCTCATCACAAAGTCATGAAAAGTTAATTTCTGTTTTACTATAAATTACTGAGATTTCTAAACTTGTTTGGAATTCCTGCCCATGCTCTGAACTCACCCATGTCTGGCTCTTCTTGACCAGATAACAACCCTCTCTAAAACCTTAGTGGCACCTCATAAATTCTGATGTTGGGATCTGAAATTACTCCCTACCTTGAAATATCATGCCATGTAGATCATTAACCTACTATCTGCCTTTGTATTATGCTTGACAAAATCCTGTTTTTTTCCACCCCCCTTTGAAACTTTTTGTGCTATAAAACCTTTTTCCTGGAGAGCTGGGGGGCTGATCTCTAGCTCAGAGTGGGGAGAGACAGTCCTGGCCAGCTTTATTTGTATAAACAACATAAGCTTGCTTTAATTTGATTTAACATTGGAGTTGGTGATCTTTTCTTTGCACCGTGGTTCAACAGTCAGGAGGGGAACACTGTTTCAGTTAAACCCCAAGATGAATCTTCTACATGGAGGAGTGACAGTTAATAGGAATAATTACTTCCCCCTTCTTTTTTGTGTTGCTGGGGATTGAATCCAGGGCCTTGTGCTTTTGAGACAAGCACTCTACCTACCAACTGATCCATATCCCCAGCCCTCCAACAAGTACTTCCCAACAAAGTGGTTTGTCCAGACACTGGCTAACAAAAGCCCAAGGATCAAATCTGGCTGCTGCTCATTTTTGTAAATAAAGTTTTATTGGAGCACAGCCACCCGTATAGGCTTGGTATCTTCCTAACTGCTGTAGCTCTACTAAGGCAGAGCTGAGTACTTGCAATGAAGCTCACCGGCCTACAAAGCCTAAGTATTTACTATGTGGCCTTTTGTAGAAACGGGTTGCCAATCACTGGTTTATAAGAAGCAAAGACAGCATTCTGCCATAGAACTCTCTGTGTGTGTGTGTGTGTGTTAGTTACTGGGAATGAAACTCCAGGGTCCTCTACTATGGAGCTATATCCCTACCACTTTTTTTTTTCCCCACAATGCCTTTATTTTGTTTATTTGTTTTTATGTGGTGCTGAGGACTGAACCCAGTACCTCCCACATGCTAGGCAAGCACTCTACCACTGAGCTACAGCCCCAGCCCCTTCCCGCTTTTTATTGATATTTTAAGACAGGATCTCACTAAGAGGCTGGCTTCAAATTTGTAGTCCTCCTGCCTCAGCCTCCTGAGTCACTGGGATTACCAGTGTGCACCATTATGTCCAGTTGGATTTGAATTTTAAAACAGAATATATGTTCCATCAACAACTCTTTCAGTTCTTTGGACACCATGATGGAATGATGCTGCAAGGATTGGTCATTTGTAATTTTTGTTACATGGAATTTGTGTTTATTTCATGGACTGAATAACAGCTTTCAATTCTACTCTGTGATAGGAGTATACATCCTGCCACTTTACCAGGTGACCTCGAGGGGTCTCCCCAGTGGTGGATCACACATGTCCGCCCTGCTGACTTAGTACTTGGCTATATTCTGCTTTGTTAGCAGAATGGACAGAAGCGACTGCATGCTGGGTCTCAGGTGGAATAGCCCTGGAAGAGTTCTGCCAGCCTCCTCCAGCATTTCCATGAGAAGAACATGCCCCGGGGGCTGTACTCCTGTAGTCCAAGTCTTGGAATGAAGACGCACGAAACAGACCTGAACCCAACTTGAAGCCTGGAGTCCAGCCTAGTCCAGCTGAACTAGTTGATCTGGGTCCAAAGGGGCTGAACCTCAGCCAACCTGCAGAACCGTGTCACATAAAATGTTTGCTTTTGAAAACTGCTCATTGTTTTGAGGGTGTCATGAAGAATCACCCCAACAATAATAAGACTGATATATACAGTTACGGTGCTGTGTTGTTTTAGGGCCAACAGAGACACAACTGTCTTCTTTGTAACTGGGCCAGAGCCTCTTGTCAAAAAGAGGCCATTCATTGCTTGTGACATTGCAGGGTCAGCCCTGTCAGCTAAGTCAGAGACCGAATCAGAGCGAGGCAGACAGAAAACCAACCTCAGAGGTGTCCTTGCTCAGAAACACCAGCTGCTAGGGAATAAGGATCCCAAGCAGGGTATCAGCAAAAGCCACCCGAGAATGGAGGGTACAGTGCAGCCACCCTCAAGGATAACATGTGAAGTGGAACAGAACTTGACACTTGGAGTGAGCTTGTAGAACCAGAGACTTGTCATTTACAAGCTGGAATGTTTTTATGCTTTATATGTTCAGTTTCCAAACTTTCCTTGATGATTGAATAAATTGCCTTGCGCTCCGGACCTGGGCTGGGCTAAGAAAAGGAATGTTCTGGGGGTGAAGGCTAGGGCTTTAAAGAACGTGAAATGCTCCCCTGGAGGACTGCATGAGTGTGCAGCAGAAACCTTGACACCAGAGCTCTAAGAAAGGGGGCCCTTGGGCAGGGCGGAGCCACCTGGCCTATGGCTCTGATCACCTGGAGCTTCCATGCCAGGAAACATGGGAGCCCTGCTCTGCGCTTGATAAGTGTAGAAACCCTCTCTAGGGAGAGATTCTGTATAAGATTAAAAACACTCATCCTCAGAATATGTAAACATTTATTTGGAAGGTTTGCAAAGGACAAGGGACACTCTCATGAGGGGCTTTGACAGAACAGAAGGAGCCCAGCTTCAGCAGAGCATGAAAGGCATGTGAATTCCCATCACTAGGATTTTTTTTGCACCAAGGATTGAACACAGGGCGCTTAACCACTGACCCACATCCCCAGCCCTTTTTATATTTTTAAATTTATAGACAGGGTCTCACTGAGTTGCTTAGGACCCCTCTAAATTGCTGAGGCTTGCTTTAAACTTGAAATCCTCCTGCCTCAGCCTCCTGAGTCACTGGGATTATAGGCATGCACCATAGCACCTGGCTCACCACTAGGATTTTTAGCTCTACATAAACAGTACAATTAAAACCACAAGGAATTGCAGCACCATACAGATTTAATGCAATTCCAATCAAAATCCCAATGGTATTCCTCATAGAAAAAGCAGTCATGAAATTCATCTGGAAAAATAAGAGACTCAGAATAGCTAAAGCAATCTTAAGCAAGAAGAGTGAAGCAGGCATCACTATACCACACTTTAATCTATACTGCAGAGCAATTGTAACAAAAACAGTATGGTGCTGGCACCGAAATAGACTGGTAGACCAATGGTACAGAATAGAGGACACAGAGACTAACCCACAAAATTACAATTATCTTACATTAGACAAAGGCACCAAAAACATACATTGGAGAAAATACAGCCTCTTCAATAAATGGTGCTGAAAAAAATTGGAAATCCATATGCAACAAAATGAAATTAAGCCCGTATCTCTCACCATTTCTCACAAAACTCAACTCAATGTGGATCAAGGGCCTAGGAATTAAATCAGAAACCCTGCGTATAATAGAAGAAAACGTAGGCCCTAATCTCCATCATGTTGGATTAGGCCCCAACTTCTTTAATAAGACTCCTATAGAGCAAGAATTAAAATAAAAAATCAATAAATGGGATGGATTTAAACTAAAAAGTTTCTTCTCAGCAAAAGAAACAATCAGTGAGGTGAATAGACAGCCTACATCTTGGGAGCAAATTTTTACCCCTCACACATCAGATAGAGCACTAATCTCTAGGATATATAAAGAACTCAAAAAGCTAAACACCAAGAAAACAAATAATCCAATCAATAAATGGGCAAAGGATGTGAACAGACACTTCTCAGAAGATGACATACAATCAATCAGAAGATGACATACAATCAGTCAACAAATACATGAAAAGGTGTTCATCATCACCAGCAATTAGAGAAATGCAAATCAAAACTACTCTAAGATTTCATCTCACTCCAGTCAGAATGGCAGCTATTATGAAGACAAACAACAATAAGTGCTGATGAGGATGTGGGGAAAAGGCACACTCATACATTGCTGGTGGGACGGCAAATTGGTGCAGCCAATATGGAAAGCAGTATGGAGATTCCTTGGAAAACTGGGAATGGAACCACCATTTGACCCAGTGATCCCTCTCCTTGGTCTATACCCAAATGACTTAAAAACAGAATACTACAGGGACACAGCCATATCGATGATTATAGCAGCACAATTCACAATAGATAAACTGTGGAGCCAACCTAGATGTCCTTCAGTAGATGAATGGATTAAAAAAATGTGGCATATATACACAATGGAATGTTACTCAGCAATAAAAGAGAATAGAATCATGGCATTTTCAGGTAAATGGATGGAGTTGGAGAAGATAATGCTAAGTGAAGTTAGCCAATCCTCCAAAACCAAATGCCAAATGTTTTCTCTGATATAAGGACGCTGACTCATAGTGGGGTAGGGAGGGGGAGAATGGGAGGAATAGATGAACTCTAGATAGGGCAGAGGGGTGGGAGGAGAAGGGAGGGGGCATGGGGGTAGGAAAGGTAGTAGAATGAGATGGACATCATTACCCTAAGTACACATATGAAGACATGAATGGTGTGATATACTTTGTGTACAACCATAAGAAAAAAAACAACCCATAAGGAAAAAGTTACCTGTCTGATTCATAAGGATCTGGAAGGAGAGCATTGGTTGAAATGCAAGATGAAGTCGACTTATCAAAGTGGTACACGGAGCCTAAAAAGCAAAAACAAACAAGCCAACTGTCAGTGCAGGTAGAGGGTTGGGGAAGAGCATTTAAAACATTTACTTCTATCCAAGGCACAAGAAAGAGCTAAACAACCACAGAGATTATTCTGGTTATACCTTTTCGAATGCAATTTTTCCATTCAAATAGATTTATTCTTCAGTTGTATTTTCAAGTCTTAATGAACAGCCATTAAAAGTGCATCTTAAAAATCCCTATTTTGCGATAGGGATTCAAGAGAATTTTCTTCATTCAAACAATTTAAAAGATACTTGGCTACTTAATAATTGTTTTTTTTTTTTAAATAAAAAATGCTTTGTTGTGGAATTTTCAGATATCTGGTCAGATCAAATTGAATAGTGGTTAAAAATTTTGTCGTGGTTTTCTTCATACCAGACAGTCTGTAAAATCTAACAACTGAGCCCTGGCTGTTGGTTCTTTCACTAAGAATAAACATTCAGTCTCCAGAATTCAGGAGGAGTGCACTCACTGCTTTTGATAAAGCATTAACAAAGTCATCTTATTTCTGTTGAGGTGGTTCAGAACCCAATCAGTAATTTTTTCCAGAAACTAAGATGTGCAACCATTCGAGAATTACCAATGACTCCCTGCAAAGAATAAGCCTCAGAGAATTCTCATCAAGCATAATGGAGACATATGATGTTCTGAAGACTAATAAGTAAAGAAACAAAATTTAGAACCGGGGGGCTTACTGCTGCAAAGTAAATTATTTTAGGCATTGAGACATCACTAATAATCCATTAGGCAGTTCTGCGGTGGTTACCAATGGCTACCAGGTCCTCTATTTTTTTTGTACAACCCAAGCCCAAATAAATGTCTCAAATTAAAAGTTAGAAAACAACCCAAATCAGTCAGGACTAAGTAAGAAATAGGCCATTTAAGTATTTCAAAAAGAGAGAATTTAACTCAGGTAATTAGTTATACTGGAGACAGGAGAACTGAGAAGCCAAGATGGAGTAGGGAGGAGACCGGAAAAGGAAGCCTCCACTCTAAGTTAAGGGGTCTAAGGGGACGTGGTGCACCTGGGGCTCTAGGGCTGGGGTGGCCAGAGTTATGGTGGACTTCCCTGGTGGGAGATGGAATCAGGAGGTGATGGCTAGCCTGCTGCTGCAGATGCTGCTCCACAGAGAGGGAGCTTCCCCAAACCCCCTCCCTGTCTGCCCCAGGGCCAGTAGCCTCCCTGTGGCCAAACCCAGACAGAAGACTGATAACAGAAAAGCCTAGGAAATGCAGAATCCCCTTGCAACAGAAGCAGGTGAGAAAAAATGAGAAATAGATCTGAGAGTAAATCAGTAAGAAACGAACCAGCAGACAATCCATGAAAGGCATTTAGTTCAAAAGAGAGAGAAAAAAAAAAAAAACCACGCAATTTTTTTTAAACCAACCTTGTGTGTGTGTTGTGTTTGTATGTGTGTGTGTGTGTGTGTAGTCCAACCCAGAGCCTCACACATGCTAAGCAAGTACTCTACCACTGAGCGAAATCGCGAAATCCCCAGTCCTAAATCAAACATTTGTGTGAAAATTCTATAAATTTCCATCTCCTTCCTTAGACTAAAGCTTTCAACCCCAGTGTACACTGTGTGCCAGCTACATGTAACACAACACCTCAGGGACGCTGCCGATACAAATGCGTTACATCTGTCCTGTATTCCAGGCTGCAGAACAGCTTCTTCCACTCCCTAGGACACGCAGGACTCCAGGCAAGCACAACACTCCCTTTTCCGTCTCCTTTCCTCCCTAGTTTTCACTGTGACTTGGGATTAGAACACATCACGCACTCAGCAAGCACTGATTATAACAGTGAGCCAGAGAGCGCAGGGCCTGGCCAGGGGAGGGAGTCTCCAGGGAAGGCTGAAGAGTGAGAAGAAAGTCCAGCCAGTGGAGATCCAGAAGCAGTCTGTGGCCACAAAAGCACCAAGAGAAAGGGGGGGGGGGGGACAGGAAGCCAGTGAGGTGGCAGGTGGGGGAGAACTTTATGGAGCAGATGGTCACATGACCCTAGAACATCTACTTCATTGGTTAGTCAGCAAAAATGCCAACTAACAGGAGGGCGGAGGAGAGCCATAGGAACGTGGCAGGACACTAGATCTTGGGTGCCTCAGAGGTGCCCAGGACAACCATGGTTCCTGACGCTCTTCAGTTTAGTGCTTTCCCACAGAGCTGTTTCCTGACCCCTTTGAAGACCATTTCCTTAAAATGCCAGAGGCCTGCCAAAATCTTGCCCACGAATGTGCCCCTTTCTCTTTTAACCTACATGGATTCGAGAAGGGTGTTTGCTATTTGTAACTAGGAAGTATAAGAAAAACAATCATCCCCTTGACAATTATCACTCTCAAAAATCAGTTTTTTATTCATACTAAGAAGAACATAAGAACAACAGTAACTTGCATTATGGTGTTTTATAGTAGGTGCTAACACCCATATTCAAAGTGAAGAAATAGGTTCTGAAAGATAAATAACTTGCTCAGGACCACAGTATGGTGGATGTTAAAACTGAGACTCAAACCAGGTGACTCTTTTTTCATATATATATATTAGTTGTAGTTGGACACAATACCTTTATTTTATTCATTTTTATTATGTGGTGCTGAGGATTGAACCCAGTGCCTTGCATGTGCTAGGCGAGTGCTCTACTGATGCGCCACAACCCAAGCCCCTCAAACCGTGTGACTCTTGCTATCAACAATGTTGTCATTTCTGAAGTGTTAAACTTTGCATCACTGGGCTGGGGAGGTAGCTCCAGGGGAAGATGGGCTGCCTGGCAGGTGCAAGGCACTGGGTTTGAACTCCAGCACCCAAAAGATAAAAATTAAAAACTGGAAATATTGGATCACCAGTTGGGATTCTCCCCTGCCCCAGGTCTCCTGGTTTCAAAACATTATAACATTATCTTTTTTTCAGAACATATCAAGAGCTGAAATACTAGAGTTTGTAGCTCAAAGATTACTGCTTCCCTTTTTAAAAAGAAACTGTTCATCTTGGAATAGTTTTAATTATACAGAAAAGTTGCAAAGATAGCACAGAGAGCTTTCACTGTCTCTCCTAATGTTAACTTCTTACATTACAGGGTACATTTGTCAAAATTAGGAAACCAACATAGATACATTACTAGGAACCAAACTCCAGACTTTATTCAGATTCCACCAGTTTTTCACTAATGTGCTTTTTTTGTTCCAGGATCCAATCCAGAACCTCACATTGCATTTAGACTGCTTCAAAATTTAACTTAAAAAATAAAAATGGAGACATTTAAAGCAACCCAAGTTGGACTTAAATGTAAATGTGAGATTTTCTATTTTTGGAGAACTTTCCTTTGCAGATTCTCCTGCAGATCCCAAATAGCTAAGTATTATTTGGGTCTACTAAGGCATAGGTTTATTACCTTTTTAATTTTTTCTCCTTCAAACCTAACCTAACAGGCATTTATAGTTTCCAAGGCATCAGACTAATTCAAACAACGTTCTTAGGCTGTGCCACCCAAAATGCTAAATTTTGAATTTTTTCTTTGTGTTTCCCAATTTTCTACAATAAATAATTTTATATCCAGAAAAAAATATTTTAGTGTGGTATATTGCACATGCAAAGAAGATCCTCATATGGATTCTCTTGGTTTCACACATATATTGAGTGTGTGCTCCATACAAGATGCTGGGTTCTGGAGAGGGCAGGGGAATGTCACTATGCATTTGTCTTTTCCAGTTAGCGCTCAAGTTGAATCAGCCTTCCAGTATGTACAGGTTCGGAGGTCCATCTGATCTGGTTCTTTTTAATATCATTAAATCATGGTTCTGTGCTTTGGAAATGTAGTCATTTGACATTGATTGGATTACTACTGTCATTTCTTAGCTTCTGCACTGTATTATAGACTCATCTATCTGTGCTTCTTGTCATGTGACTTTTCAGTGACTCCCACTAAAGTGTATGATGTAATTTCTGTTTTTCTTGTATCTGGCTTAGCCTTGTGACTTGTTTTGGCCAGAGAAAACTGGTCACTCTGTCAGTTCCAAGGTGAGGCTTTAGGGGACATCACTGGGATCTGCTTCTGTTGTGACATGTTATGATCCACTGTGAGAAAAATCTTGCTCAAAGTTGCCACTGTCCCTTCAGCCCAGGTCCCATCATTAAGACACACAGTGGCACATGCCTGTAATCCCAGTGACTCGGGAGGTAGAGGCAGGAGGACTGCCAAGTTTGAGGCCAGTCTAAATAACTCAGTGAGATCCTATCTCAAAAAGAAAGAAAAAAAAGAAAAAGCATAAAGCAAATCAAACCTGAACAGAATCCTCCGGCCCAGCCTCGCCCAGCTGTAGCATAGATGGTCAGCAGACCTACATCTGCTGCTGTAAACCATCAGGTTGGTGAAGTGTCTGTTCTGCAGCAAAACTTGACTAAGGCACCATTACAGTGTGCTACTCAGGTCGAGAGACTTCTCTCGGCCTATCACCCATCTGAAGTGCGTTCAACTTACTTCCAGGCATCAGTTCAAAGTGAGGCTTCCCTTCTTCAGTGGCCATGAGCGTGGCCAGTTTTCCTTCGATCATCTCTCCATCAATGAATTTCCCATAAAGCGCAGTCCTCTCGTCAGGGTACACATAGGCTATCTTCTCTCCAGTCATCTCCCCATCCTCGTTGACATCCCCTACAAGGCTGCCTCCATCCTGATAGGAGAAACCAAAACCCAGAAAATATTATATATAGTATTTATCTATAGGGCTCGAGTTCAAGAAATTTCCATTCTGCACTATTAGTAGCAAGAGTGAGAACATGAAACATAGCTCCTCAAGTTAATGTCCCCGTGTGCATGTAACTTCCCAGACCCTTACAAAAACACTGCGGTGATAAACAAACATGTTACATTTGGAACATTAGTTGCAGACATTTAAAACAATGTAACATTACCTCTGGCTAATATCAAGGCAATCCTACCTGCCATTTCTATGATCTACTTAATGTTAGATTTTGGATTTCTAGTCTGTTAAGAAAATCTTTGGTTTAAATGTATCTAAGAATTAATTTTGTGTGCATGGGTAAATATAGATTTGTCTGCATTTTCTAAGAGAGAAACAAAAGGACTTCCAGACACTGCCTTTCTGAGAATCCTATATCATTATCTTTTTTTCTGGTACCAGGAATTGAACCCAGGAACGCTTAACCACTGAGCCACATCTCCAGTCCTTTTTACAATTTATTTAGAGACGGGGGCTGGCTAAGTTGTTTAGGGTCTCGCTAAATTCCTGAGGCTGGCTTTAAACTCATGATCCTCCTGCCTTAGCCTCCCAAACCATTACCCCTAACCTTAACACCAAAGGCAAAGTGAAATCAGATGAACTCAATTCTCTCTCAATCACTTCACACTCTATTTACTGCTTCCTTTTGCCTCCTTCAGTAAGAGGAGCCGGTTTTGCTTCATACCTAAGGATCACTGTGTACTTTAGCATAGAGGCTATGATAGAATTCTGTATCCTACTAGATTCCACGGACGTAGTAGGTAACCCATAAATACTGTTTTAATTGACCTAGGGGTCCAAGAAACAATGCATAATTCAATCCAGTTCCTTCCCCCTCATGCCCTACCCTGAAGGTCCTTATGGTATAACTTTGAAATCTAAGATCTTTACATGTTTGATATAATGTAAATGCCATAACATTGCTAAAAGCTTGGTTATTTTCCCTGGTTCAAGGATCTAGGAATAGCTACTCAAAGTCAGTGATGTGGGTGACTTTTGCTGCTTATTGAGAAACAACAGAAATCAATTACATGGTATATTTGATTTCTATGCCTTGCCACAGTCTAATTGTTCTTTGTGGGAAAAAGTTTATAAATTAAAATGAATCTCAGTGCTCCCATAAGAGGAAAAACACTTGGAAGCATTTTTTCACAGGTAGAAAGTGCACTAGTATTCTATTTATTGCTCTTCCTCCTCCCCAAATTAATTCTTACTAGGCATAAATGAGGACAATACTTTGTGCATAATGCCTTCAGGCTGTCAGTGATGATTACTGAGCCTGGGCTTATGACATGCCCGAACATAAACCACTACCATTACTAGTAATTTAAAATAGAAGTCTTTTTTCCTACTCTTCATACCTTTTCCCTTAAATGCTTTAAACTTCTGGTTTTGGAAGAAGTGAATGTATTTCTCTAGAATGATAAAATAGAATTCTTTTATTTCCCAAAGGAGTTATGCATTTTTATTTTATTTTATTATTTTTGGATACTGGAGATTGAGCTCACAGGCACTCTACTGCTGAGCTACCTCCCAGCCCTTTTTATTTTTTTTTAATTTGAGACGTGGTCTTGCTCAATTGTAAGTTGATCCTATCCACAAGCTGGCCTTGAGCTTGCCATCCTTAGTCACCCAAGTAGCTGGGATAATATTCCAAATAATGTCCAAAGAGTTATGCATTTTTAATCAAGAACTTTGTTTTACAGTTTGAGGGAATTTCTTGAAAGAAATGAACTCTTCTTAGAGTGAGCCTATAAGCACTGCGGGAAGAATAAATTCTTCTTTTCCTGTTTTGATTCCTTCACACAGAAATATCCTTGTCTGCTCTCTGGGGGGTGCTGGGTAGGAAGCTGTGGATTCTGGCCTCTGCTCGCTGGCTCCCCCTGGTGGAGTGAGGAGTCACTCAAGCGATGTAGCAGGCTAGAGGGCAGGTCTGACACCAACACCCATTTCTTCTTTGGGTGGGGAGTATCAAGATAAAGTTTTCTTTCAGGCATCTGCCTTTTTTTTTTCTTTCTCAGGCCCTTATCTGCTGCCTGATTTCCCCTTTCCATTGGAAGCTCCTCGAGGCAGGCCCACAACCCCTGGGCAAACATGCAGCCTTCTAGCCACTGTCGAGAGCTGGCCCATCTGCTCAGTTCCCAGGGGAAGGAGTAGAAGGCCATGGGCCCATACCACACCTCCAACCCAACCCTGCCATAATAAAAACTGACAACTTGACCTCTGACACCTGAGTCTATTTCTTAACTGTTTCAGACTCCAGACAGCAGAGGAGTGTGAGCCACCCCCTCAACTGCCCACAGATACCACACTTAAAACAGGCATTACCAACCACTTCTGAAAGCTAAGAACTCATTAGCCCTTCCTTCCAAAGGCAGCTTCTCTTGGCATTTAATAAGATAATAATTAAGGCTACTTATTAACATGTAGCTGCATTTTTAGTTTTCAAAGTGCAACAACACTGAGAGAGGTGAACGCAGTCCCCCAGCTTAGAGCATCTTTGATCTCACAGCGATTGTAAGTTGATCCTATTCACAAGTTAAATGACAGGCAGTGGGAGAGCCTGGGGATCTCTATTTTGCCTCTCTCTGCCTACGGAGTTCCACTTACTTCTGTGACTTCAAGGTTCACTGTCATTTCAGCACCTCCCCAGCAGTGGGCAGCCAGAGGCTCACCTGGGGCCTCAGGAAGCCCAATCTCAGTCTCCTTAAGGTGGCAAGTGCCTCCCCTCTTCCTGTCCCACTTGCCTTTTTCTAGGTGGTAACTGAAATGACTTATGATCAGTCATGGATCCTACCACGAGGATATGTAAATGCTTTCGTAATAAAAAAAAAAAACTATTAGTTATTGATGGACCTTTACTCATTTATTTGTTTATATGTGGTGCTGAGAATTGAACCCAGTGCCTCACACATGCTAGGCAAGCGTGCTACCACTGAGCCACAACCCCAGCCCCGCTTTTGTAACTCTTAGCAAATGTTTTACACCTTCTTTTCCTAGAGTATATGTTCCTTCCTTCCTTCCAGATGGGTCTTGCTATGATGTCCTGGGTTCAAGCAGTTCTCTTGCCTCAGCTTCCTGAGTTCTTGGGACTACAGGCATGCACTTCCATACTCAGTTTAACTTTTTAAGAACAATAATGTGTAAGTAGATTTAATGGGAGCTATTTTTCTCGTTACATATGTAATAATTTGTTTTTATTAACATTTTTAAATTGTAAGAAGATAGGGTTCAGAGTAAGCATCTGGATATGACAAAATATTAAATAAAATATTCCCTAAGGTTTATTTTCTGAAATATTTTCTGGAAACTCACTAAGAACAGATGGGATATTTGAAATGTGAACAAAAATTAGAACATTAATTCTGAACTAGGGGTTTTGCCATGTCTACTTGCTCTAATAAATTCCAGTTTACTCTCACCAATTACTCAGGCAAGTTAGATTAAATCACCTTAATTCAAGCAATATAAACTATAAAGCGACTTCAAAAGTAGTGACATTGTGAAAGTAAACAATGGTGTAGTAACAAAAAAAAAAAAAAAAGGAAATCTCTGGATTTAATCTTACATATGAGAAAGAAAACACAATAAATAGCAACAATGAAATAGCCTACCACTCTTTCTATATGCCAAAAGGAATTAAAAGCAATGTGTGTGTATATATCTATATATTATCTTTTACTTGGTTAGTGGTATGATAAAATTGATTCATCCCAGTTAATCATTCTTTCCCAAAAACGACTCTAAAAAATGACCAACTCCCAGGACTAAGCCTACGTCAGCAGCGCACAGCATGCCCGGGCCTCCCAGACTCTGGGCTTCAGCGACTGGGCTGCTCGGTTCCGGTTCCGCAGCGCCTCCATTTGGAGCAGAGCGCGCACCCGGCTCTTTCTGTCTTACTGCATCACACCTTCCCACAGGAGCAGACGCAGGCTTACTGGGTAGTAGATCCAGCACACTCCATGGCGAATGTTGTCTTTGTACTGCCCCTTGAAGATCAGGCGCCCGTCCGTGTCGTACTCCTGCGCTGGGCCGTTCAGCTCTCCGTCCACGTAGGTGCCCTGGAGAACGCCGCCGTCCTCGTAAGTGTAGACGCCCTGGCCCTGCAGGGCGTCGTCCACGTAGTACCCCTCCAGGGTGCTGTGAGGGGGAGGACAAAGAGGGACAGTCACACAGACTCAACTCTCCCCAGGACAGAACCCCGCCCGAGGCCCTGATGTCCAGCCCTGTCCAGCCCGACAGGCGCAGGGCACCCTCCTGAACCCTGGTAAAGTGGGTGAGGGGAGGAGGGAGGATGAGATCTAACTCCCATAATCCTTTCTCGGCTGGAGGAAAGAGAAGAAGAAAGCCACAGGTGGAACCGAGGGCAGACCTCACCTAAATATGTTTCTGGGGCTAGAGACCAAGCCACACGGGGCCAGAGAAATTCCGGCATTACCTTTGCCACTTATAAACCACTCACGTTGATCTCCCTCAAGAGAGGGCCAGAACTCACTGGGAGTCCTCAAGCTCTTTCCGATGGTTACAGGGATCGCCAATAAGACGAATGCAGGTTAGAATATGTTTTTTTGTTTTTTTTAAGAATGCATGGCTACTTATGTGTGTGTCTGTCTACCCACATAAGCTCCAAATCACTAACGTGCAGCTCACCAATGATCGCCTTAAAAGGCATCCAGACAAGTAATCCCCTTGTATCTCTTTGGAAGGTCCTGGAGATTTATTTAAATGTATGGACATATGTGTATGTTTGTGTGACACACAGATATAAGTCATGCATCACTCGACATGAGAACAGCTCCTGAGAACGATATATATCACTTGACCACTGAGCCACATCTCCAGCCTTATTTTGTATTTTATTTAGAAAAACGGGTCTCACTGAGTTGCTTAGCACCTCGCTAAATTGCTGAGGCTGACTTTGAACTCAGGATCCTCCTGCCTCAGCCTCCTGAGCTGCTAGAATTACAGGCATGTGCCACCATGCCTGGTGAGGCACATGTAATTTTGCTATTGTGTGAACATTGTGAGTGCACCTATACAACCCAGATGGTATAGCCTACAACACACTCAGGCCACAGTATAACTGTATGGGGTTCACTATCCTACATTCTGCCTGTCACGCCATTCTTAGGTGGTATGGGGCTGTACATACACACACACACACACACACACACACGATCATGGCCAGTGGGGGCAAGAAGGAAGACCATGGCTCACCCTGCTGATGTCATGTCTCTGATAACGCCTGAGCCCTGGTACTAGGTGGGAGAGCAGTGCTGTGGTGATGTACCAGCACCCCTTTATCTCTCTCCCCAGAAAACACCCTTGGAAGTTCAGAAACAGGACTTCTGTGTCCTATCAAAGGCTATGCAATGAAACTAACCCTAACAAATGTTTCCTTTATATACTAAAATTTGGAATAAGAGCAGCTCAAATTATTATTATTATTATTTGGTACCAGGGATTGAACTCAGGGACACTTGACTACTGAACCACATCCACAGCCCTATTTTGTATTTTCTTTAGAGACAGGGTCTCACTGAGTTGCTTAGCACCTCGTTTTTGCTGAGGCTAGCTTTGAACTCACCATTCTCCTGCCACTGGGATTACAGGCATGAGCCACTGTGCCTGGCTCAAACTATGTTTAAAATTTAAAATGTGAGAAATTTAGAAACAAAAACATCATGATTGTTTTAATATATGCATGTAACACTCATTCATTGATTATTTTAGTATGTGTAACTATATTCACTCATTCATTCATTCATTCATTCATTCACTCAAACAGTGAGCATTTAGAGTGTGCCTTCTGTGTAGCAAGCACTGTGTGTGGCTCTAGAGAACATGAAGACAGAACACACAACTGGACTGTTTGGCCTGGTGGGCACACACCGTGTCCTGAGCCAGGCAGGATGAGCACACATGGGGTGCTGGGGTACATGGGATGCAAAGTGGCCACAGGAACTGAGGTGGCTGTCCCTGACTGCCTGGTAAAGACTTGTCTTATTTTAATGAATGACTGAGAACGATCTATAATTATTAAATGAAAAGTACAGCCTAACAGGCGATAGCCCCTGATGACATTGTAATTACACTATTTGCAGCCTCCCAAGGAGATAAATAGTTCTCTTTCAGCTTTGTTTGCACTATCAATGACAAATAGGCTTACTAAATTCATGAAGAAAATGCACTTAGCATAGCCGTTGCATAAATAATCAAAATTCCAAATCAGTGAGGCTGAAATTAATGAGATTCAACCATTATTAGACTCCCACAATTAAAGAAAAAAAAAAAAACCACCTTGGAGAACGATTACTAATCAACTGACATATTGATGCAATATACAGTACAAAAAACAACTTAATCATTCATCTTCATATTTTGGATTGTAAGATAAAATATCAATGCCTGGTTAAGTTTGAATTTCAGAAAAATAACAAATAATTCTTTAAGTATGTCCCACCAATTTTTAACTTAATTAATTTATTTTTAATTTAAAAAATTTCTTTTAGATAGTCTTACACTATTGCTCATGAATGCCTAGGCTCAAATGATCTTGCCACCTCAGCCTCCTGAGTAGCTGGGACTATAAGCATGCATCATGGTGCCCAGCCCAAATACTAAATAGTACATAATTATACTAAAAATTTTTGTTGTTGTTGTTTATATGAAATTCCAGTTTAACCATGTGTGCTGGATTTTATTTGCTCATCTTGGCAACTCTGTGGACTTTGGATTCTCAGCAACATTCAAAATGTTCCTGTGTATGTTTGGGTACAATTATCCCCCAAAGGACCAGTCTGCCAATATTCCTCAGGTTTAAGACCAAATCTTCAAGGCACAGGTCTTGCAAATCAGTTAAATAATAACATAGACTTGCACATATTTTCCCATAACCATATCCAGTGGCTTGTCCTATTCCTTGCCAATGGCCAATGAAGAAACTGCTGTTTCCCTCTCTTAGTCCAGGGGACTTTGGACACACGAGTGCAAATTCTTAAGGTGCTGGACAGTAGTCTTACTGCATGACTCTTTAGCATCTGTTTATCCTTAGCTTTCTTGGCAACTTTTTATGGTAACTTGGATGGAATCTTATGACAAAAAGGGCATGTCACACACTCGAACTGGGTTCTCCAAGGAAATAAAAATCTCTGAAATCCTCTGGCATTGAAGAAATGAAGGAAAAGCTCCTTAGATTGGCCTTCAAAGCCAGGCTTTCTTTCCAGCTTTTCCTTCCAGAGAAGGCTGGAAATTGTGACCCATGACTTGCTTTTGTAAATAAAGTTTTATGTGAACACAGCCATGCACATTCCTTCTTGCCTCCTGTGACTGCTTTCCGACGCTGGTGGAAGAGTTGAGGAGTTGTAGAGACGGTATGTGGCCCAGGAAGCCTGTTCCTCTCTCACCCTGAATAAAAAACATCTCCTGCCTCTTCGGCTTACATTATATATTCACAGACTTCTATGTACATTAGCTTCCATACTGTGTGTTTCCTTTCATCCTCCTTGAAACCTAAGTGAGCTGACTTTTTAGCTCTGCATCTCCAAGGACATATTCAGGAAAAAATCACGAGTTAATTTTTCTGTCACCTCCCTTCCTTCCTTTTCTCTTCATTCAAAACATAAATGCCTTGGGATAATACTGAATATTTTCAATCCTCTGGCATTTTTCCATTCAAAGAGAGGAAAAAAAAAACTAAGAGAAAATGGTGCTATTTTGTAGCCACTAAAATGTCAATGTGGTTATATTTGAAAAGTAGGTACACAGAAGTAGCTTTCTAATCTTTCTTGCAGAAACTGGCCTGAGAGTTGTTTTAGAGCATCTGCTTATCACTGTATGAACATAGATCCCTCATCTTCCCCATGGAGCCCTAATTTCCCTCAAAGTCTACCCTGGCCAGGCAGCCCTGCAGACCATTACTCATTGCAGTTTAGTCAGGCACTATTCTAGAACACTCCAAAGCTCTACTGAGGTTAAACTCCATGTCCTGGGCTGGGGTGTAGCCCAGTGGCAGAGTGCTTGCTTGGCATGTGCAAGGCCCTGGGTTTGGTTCCCAGCATTGCAAAAAGTAAATAAATAATGTGTCCTATTTTTCTCTATCTAGGTTGTAAGTCCTTTACATATAAACAGCAGATCATCCTTAAGCAAGAACCTCAAGGCTATTATGGGGAGCTTTCCACTGAGAAACTGGGTTTAAAGCAAGGAGACAGTTACAAAACACTGGGATAGTCAAATTTAAAAACTGCTTCAATTCTACTTTTTTTTTTTTAAGCAAGAAAGAGTCCTCTCTTTTTGCAGTAAATTATGAGTGACCCAGTTGAAAGGGGAAGGGTGGAATAAATGGCTCTTTATGTTAAAAAGGTAACATGTGTTTACTGTCAAAGAAAACACACACAAGCACCCTGAGCCGTGGAAGGCAGAAACCCAGGATTTGTGCCCAATTATGCACAGCATCTGAGACTTTTTCAAGGGTGTACCATGCATTTTCCCACCTTTTGTTTTTGTTGTTTTAACAAAAATGGGATCACAACACACAATTTCTTAACTTGTATTTTCTTGAAGTCCTTTTCAACATCTTGGCAGATTTTTCAGTAGTTATGAAATTACAAAAAAAAAAAAAAAAAGGTCTTTCAATTTTTCTGGCACCAGAATCTGAATTAAACAACTGGAAAGTTTAGAGGAAATGAAAACATCAATTTTAATTAAATTTCTTTCTCTGCATGCACACGGACCATTTCTGGTTTATCAAAGCTCTCATACTTCCAGTGAAGTTTTCAGTAATAAATTAGGAAATCTAACTTAACATAAAAAAATACGTTTTATAATAGTTTGCAAGATGCACTTGAGATCTGATACACTTGCATTTTATACAGACACCACTGCATTTTCACTTAAAAATCACCTGCAGTATCTGAATTTGCAAATGTCATTAGGGACTAAACAGTGTGGGCTTGTTGTCAGGGTCTGAGGCTCTAGAAGATTTGCTGCTTTCCACCTCATGGGCCTAAATTCTATTCCCTTCCTTTTGTCAACTACAGCAACATGAGGACCAAGAGGGAAATATAAAAATGAATCATAATTCTACTTTAAATTTCCATTCTTAACCAATTAAATTGTGACTCTTAATATTAAAATATTGT